ACTGTATGAAGAAGGCATTTTTTAATTAACTTATGTGAAAAGAAAAGGGCTAAAAGTGATGCATACAAATACATTACTTCCTGGAGAAAGAAGAATTCCAAGAATGTTTGCATTAATGGCCTCTGATAAGGAGACTTGCTGGAGCAGGTGAAATGAGGCTGGAATCAAAGCTGGTTCATTTTAGCCGAAGACCTGCAAAGCTGCTTGGATTTCTAGCAGTCATCAACTAAATCAACAACTGATGTTTAGTCATCTACATGAACATCCATTCAGACAGACACAGAAAGACTTATTTGTAAAAACCATTGATTTTTTTTTTTTTTCAACTTATGGGAAAAGGGTATGGAGTGTTCTTGTTTTTTGATCTGTATAAGGAATTTGTGTGTGTGTGTGTGTGTGTGTGCGTGCGCGTGCGTGCATTTATGTGTGATGGAATGTATGGATATGTGACAGTCCTATTTTCAAGGTGTGGATGTTTGGTAATAACGTCTCAGAGCATGCCTAAAAGAGCGCACTGCAAGATTATTTTTGAAGAAATTTTATTTTATTAGATCTAACTCTTCATAGCGTGTAAATGGTAGAACATTTTAATAATATTTTAAAGCTGGGCTTTCCCGGTATTTCAAAAAGAAATAATATATCTGTTAATGTTATTGGAATGCTGCTCAGTTCTCTGATCAGTGCTTATGTTACAACTGTTGATAACTAACCAAAGTAGATGCCTGCAGAGACTTTAAAATGTAAAATAAAGATGTATGCTGCCTGTCAGCTATTTCCATTAGAAAAGTTAACTTATTTTACTCCATAATTATTATAGAAACTGTATAGACTAAAACCAGTATTTTCTTGTACATTTGTGCCATGCACTGCTATACAGGAATAGGTCTACAGAGCTAAAGGAAAATTTGTGGTCACTGATGGAATACAGTACATGGGCTGCAGGCTCTGAAGTCTGCAGAATTCAAGAGGAGAGATGCAAATGCGTTTTTAGATGTTTATTCAGGACTCACATGTATGTTACATGCTGCAGGAAGCTGGGCCCTTGGGGAAATGAAAGAAGCCTGATGACTGACTTCCACAACACGCAATGTTCATATTCACTGTCTGGTCTGTAGTGTAGCACAGACTGCATTCTCTGTCCTTTTTTAAATAGCATTTTGTAAAAGAATGTAGTCCCACAACTCCTCTGATTTGAAAGGAACACCTTGTATTTTTTATACGCATCTCTTATCCACTGTGACTTTTTAACTGGGCTCTGTGATTCCAGAGTTTGGGATGTGGAAATGAAATGCTTAGCTTTGCCTTTTTGTGGGGGTGTGGACCTGCTGGAAACGTAACTACGCTCGAGTGCATGAATTGAAGGCACTGTGCACACCGCCACTGGACTGCTGACTGCAGTTATGTTTCCTGAAAAATTCCGTAACTGGTCACGGCACCTTCATAATCACTGTAATTTTTGACCCTTATAAAAAATTATTTTAATGGTGTTCTGGTACTGTAAATGGTGTCCTTTAAATTATTTAATAACTTTTGGGTGTGGGGCCAGCAGAGAAGGATGGTGTCCAGAGACACATCACACTTTATATCCTGTCTTACTCTCCCCTATTTTTTCTTACCCTTACATCCTTTTTGTTAAAAATAAAAAGTATTGTAGCTGTTGGTTTGTGTGGTATTTTCAAAGGATAAATGACTCTATTATTTAGAAACTTTCCCAGTGTCATCTGAATAATTTTCAAGTATAGTTTTCCTTAAAAAAAGAATAGTTAACTGATTACCCAAACCAAAAGTTTTGAATAGTTGAGGTTTGTTTTGTATTTATATGTAATGAATCTAGTAATAATAAAAATGAGTACACCTCAAAAAACAAGATGCAAACATAAGTTCACTAGGTTTTTTTGCAGTTGGATTTTCCTCAAATCCAGTCTTTCTTTGCACTTCCTCCTCTGAATTTAGTTTGTATTTGACAGAAAATATCAAGGGCTTAATTTATTACCTTATTTCGTTCCACTTAAGAGTCCAGTTTTGATACAGACAACCCTTTTACTTTTGTCCACTACATTTATCATTTTAAAAGAGTCTAAAATAATAGCAAAAAAAAAAAAAAAATGTGGCTGTTTGTATGGTGCTTCACCAACGCCAAAAGACTTTTTTACACAAGTTAGGAATTCAGCAGACCCTTACACAAACTCAGCTCCAAGGGCTGGTTGTAATTCAAGTTGGTTGTGAGTCAGTCCAGCTGAGGTCTGGGTACACACTATATACATAACAAGAGGCAGGTGAATCCTCCATTAAAGTACCCCTGTTAACCCAAGTTGTTCATGTCAGGCCCGTCACAACATGAAGATCCACTGTATTTCCTACTTTTAGTGATGGAAATAGAGGGTCTGGTTATAATCCACAACTTACCTAAAGTGGAGAAACCGTTACATGTTCTCGAGGCAAAGGCTCAGCGACCGTGGGTGTATCACACCAGCAAAACCTAAATGGAATAAAACAGAACCACTAGAAAGAGTATTTTCTTCAATGGTACTGAAGATTGAACCCAGTGTACGCTGGCTACATCCCCACCCCTTTTGATCCTCCTGCCTCAGCCTTCCAGAGTGCTCGACTTAGTCACATGTACCACACTACTTATGTTTACTTTAAACATATAGGAGATATGAAGAAAACTGTGATCACTTCTCTTGACACCCAGAGATAACATTTTAGAGTATTTCCTTCCAGCTTCTCCTAAGCCATCTTAGAACAGATTCTCATTTTGCACTGTTTGCAGAAGTATGACAGACTGTGCCTTCTCCTTGGCAAAAATGTCATAAGCCAAGACATGTTTTTGTGCCATTTTGTTCAGTGTCTCAATGCCCAACCGTAAGTAAAACACAGTCTGACCTCTGCTTTCCTCAACTGTAAAGTAGCTACTGTGTTAGTAAAACCAGTGACATACATGAAAAAATAATCTAATAAACCCACTTTAGTAGACTGAACTTCAGATAGATTTCTATAATTCACATACTCGTTTATTCAGCAAATACTTATTGACCATATTTTGCAAGGAGTGATCCAAATATATGGTAAATGTTTAAAATTAAAAATTGGATTTCAGTAAAACACATTGCAATTAATCCTGCAAAATCATCTCTCGCTTCACATGCTTATTCCATTGTTTTTATGGAATTCCCAAAGACAAAATGACCACAAAAGATATTTTGAATCAATTCAGGACACTGAGGTAGTCGTGATAGTGCAAGTAGAGACAAAAGAGGACTTCAGAAAGTGGCAATGGGATGTTTTAAGCAGGAGGGACAATCCTGAGTATTAATGGCAAAGTGACTGTCACCATGACCCACTACCCCCATCACACCTTGAAAACCTCTTAGTAGGTTCTCAATGATAAAGACCACTCCCGAGCAGGGCCTGATTAATCCTAATCTGGCCCTGCTAGTTTCACCTGCTACCGCATCCTCCAGAGTATTCCACCACCATGGCCTCTTTGATTTCCTCTACCACCGGACCTTTGGACACATCACCTCAGCCTGAAAAGTTCATCTTTCCTCTTTTCCCTACTCAAACCTCAGCTCAGCTGAAGTGCCAGTCCTTTAACTGGGCTTTCCCACGCCAGCCCCACTGTTTATTACAGGCCTTTAGCCAAGCAGTGCTTCCTCATCACACGTCAGATTCCCAAATCTTCTAGCCAGATACCCTGTACCTAAAGCTCCAGAAGATGGAGGCTGCACTGAACTTATTTTCTGTACTCTGCAAGAAAATCGCTGAGCAAGTGGGTTCATGCTTCATTTCCATTAGCAGCATCTCCGTGCTTGTCAGATACCTCAGTAGGGACATAGCAGGGATAGGGGCCCTAGCCCTGCGCCCTTTGACAGGCACCATTTAGGTCCACAGGAATAGACAAACCTTATGCCCACTTTAGGCTTTTAACTCCATTGAACACATAGCAGTGTCCAAGATGTTAACAGACTGACTTCTACCGCCCTTCTCAGTAAGGCAGGTAGGGCATTCAGAACAGAAGTGACAGCTAGCACCTGGCTGCAACCGTGAGGTTTCCACAGACCAATACCCCCAGTTCCATTCAAAGCTCCCCAGGCTCTAGACAGTGCCACCTATGTCTAGGAGAGTCTGGCTGTGGGGTTTTATCGAGGAACCCGTTGTAGAAAAGGTGTTACACCCAGTACAAATCTGAAGGGGGCTCCGACTACGTCAAGGACAATGAAGGCTAATGTGTGTTTAACTCAATCTTTACGATGCTTTTTAAAAACTAAAGGGCTGGGGATTTAGCTCAGCGGTTTGGTGGCCTGCCTTGCAAGAACAAAGACCTGAGTTCAATCCCTGGTACCAAAAAATAAATAAATAATAAATAAAAACAAACTTCTTAGGGCTGGGGATTTACCTCAGTGGCACCAACCCTACCTCACAAGCACAAGGTCCTGAGTTTGACCCCCAGTGCCACACACAAAAAAGTAAAACTGTAAAAGTTACCACCTTAAGTCTACTTGATGAGTGAGTCATCTAAGTCACCTGTCTGCAGCTATTCTTCCCAAGCCTCACTCAGCCCACAGTGGTACTGATCAGTGTAGCTTGGTTCCCCCAGAAGTTCCCCTACTTAACCTACACACACAGACACTCCTGTTTACACCCCAGCAGCCCCCCCCCTTTTCTCTGAGTTCTTTTCCACCAAGGAATGGCTCTGCCTCTTCCTGCCCCAGAAGGCATCTTACTTGGATGGTCAGAAGTCTTTTAATTCAATTAACATCGGACCCACAGACCTAAGCAGGGCCATAAACCTTCTCAGTCCTTCTCCAGTGCTTGTAACTTGCTCAGCTTGGCCCATCTTACACCATAACAGAGGCTAAGAGATGACAGGCTTAGACTGGCAGCAGAAGATAAGCACTCCTCAAACTTTATTTTGAGTCAGAAGATTTTATGCAATTTTTAAATTATTTTGCAATACTTTTATTTGAAGGCTTTGTCCAAATACATTGCCTCCCCGGAAGTACTTTAAGGAGGGAGAGACAGAAGAACAAAGGAAAACCTCACTTCTGCTCCCTTAGCACACGTTCAGCAGAACCATTTTTCACATTCACTAAATGATATATTTAAAGCTGAAAGTGCTGTCACAGGACAGGCGTTTGCCTTTGCATCTCCCACACAAATCTTGACGATGCGGGCGTTTGGGGTCCACGTGGCGAATTCTTACTGGGCAGGAACATCTAGTTCTTTTACAACTCTGAAAAACCAGAGCAAGAAGTACGTACAAAAGAAACTCTTGGCAACTTCCTAGAACTTCACTCTGACTTTTCTAGTCCATTCAGATAATTGAATGCACGCTAAGCAAGGTCCTGTGCTAATCTTTTCTGCACCCCTGGCCCAGCAATGAGAAGTTTAGGAAAAGTGTTTAGCTGTGCTGTAGTGGATTCAATTCTGTTAAGTTTCGTATGTAACGTTCTAAGAAAAAAAATATTCTACTCTTCCACATCCTTCAAGTGCACAAAAAACAAACAAGTAGGGGATGAACTGGTCAATGAAAGCCAATAGAGTGATTAAGTTACTTTTTGTTGTTGTTTTCTTTTTCCTGGGATTGAATTCAGGGCCTTGCACTTGCCAGGCAGGTGCATTGCCACTGAGCTGAGTCACTGGCCTCAGGTATCTTACTTTAGAAAGGGTGGCTGACCTAAGAGATTCTGAATGGTTTTCCATATCTACTCTCTCTAACACCCTAGGGGGCTAATGCTTTCAATACCCAAGACTGAAGAGCATTGATTAGTCTCTCTGGTGGCAATTCAGGCTCATCAGCTGTGTGAAAACAGGCAAATTCAGTAATTTCTTTCTTCTTAAATATCTAAATCCCTTAGCACAGCACTAAGAGTAAGGTTTTAAGAGTAAACAATCCATGTTAGTTAATCCCATAAAGCTGAGCCCCTCTGAACAAACTTCCTTTGTGAGCTCTCAGGCGGGCAAGACTGAAACTTTCAACTCCTGTGCTTCTACTAAATAATTTAACTTGGGTACGTGCTTCCTAAGAAGCACTTGGACAAAGTAGCCAACATTTACCACCTTGAGTTAGAACAGTATTCTGTTTTCAGTTTGCTTTCTCTTATAGGCTAACAGGTAAGGCAAGCTTTCTCCCATATTGTTTCAAAGTTTTGACCAAAGGCAGAAGGAAGCTGTTACTATCTAGGCACCATTTCAGACTGGAGCACAATTCCTACAACTCCTAGCAAACAGCAATGAAAACCTAGAATCACTAGGAAACTAGCCTCTTTTAGGAAACATTCAAGAAAGTGTACCAAAACCCCTCTTCTTCCTTTACCCAACTGAGACACAAAATGCAAACATCTGAATTACTTGACAGGTGATGTCCTCCACTCGGTAAGGATTGTAAGACTTCTGACAAGTTCTGCAAAACTGTTTGAAGTAAACCTGTGATGAGAAAGAATAAACATAGAGCAAAAGCACCTCAACATTTCAACGGAAGGATGTCAGTTACATGGTGTCTCTTACCTTGTTCGTGCCCTGTACACACCACACGTATGCACTCTCCCAGCGGATGTTGCAGTCCTTGCAGTGATAATAACCATATTTCTGCTCTAAGAACTGAACAATAGGATACCAGAGGTTATCCAACAAGACACCTTCATTTATCTCTCATTTCTGAAGCTGGGAAGGATCTACTTGCAGCTTAGAATTGGCAACTTTATTCTAGACAACAGAGGGAAATAAGGTCAGGTTTGGGTAAACCTCTTCAGTAGAGTCACTAAGCTAATGGCTCAGTCAGACTGATAAGGAATGGGCCCTCAACAGCAAAATGTCTGATTAATTTTAATCATAAGGCTAGGTGTTTTCCTCGGCCAGGCAAGGGAAACACCAGATATCCAGGGTTCTTAGAAGCTTGGGATTGTCAGGTAGGGCTTTTCTCTGTAGGAAAAAGTCTGATCCTAGAGCAAGCACAGATGAAGGCAAGCTAAAAGGAGGAGACTCTGCAGCTGAGATTCTTTGAGGAGACGATCCAAGTTCTCTACAGTACTAATTAAGTTTCCATCAAACAGTAATGTCATAGAACTCTAAACATGGCACATTTAATATGAACTACAGGTGTATTACTTTATCCTCAAGCGTCCCTTTCTCCTTCCCAGGGAGAAACAAGCTTGAAGTTTTCAGAAGTAGGCCTAGAGAACTAGTAGGCACTTTGGAGAGCACTTAAAGGGATTTCATAGGTGAATAAATACTATAAAGACCAAGGAGCTTAAAGCTTGCCTAAGATCACACCCAGCTGTGTAGGGCAGCAGCCCAGTTGCGACTGACAGCCCCAGCTTCTTGCCCTCCCAAATCCACAAGGACCTGAGGTGGCTGCGGAAAATGCCACGCAACACTTCTTACTACGTCTCACCCCCATTTCCCTGGGTTACAGCTGCGCATGTGCCACAGCCCCGTGGGGCTCCACTGTCAGGCAGCAGCCCAGGACAGCCCGAAGACTCCAGCACTCCCGATTTCAGAATGGGGAGCTTTTGAAAAGCAAGGCAAGGTCCTAGAGAACACAGTAGGAGGCTCTAGCTTTCAGCAGACTCGTGTGAGGTAGGCAGGTAAGAATCAGAGGTCAGCGTCTCAGGCCCCCGGGTGCCGTCTGGCAAGGGCTCTGCCATATTCGGTGAGGCGATGGTGCAGGGGTCTTGGGGAATTGGCAGTCCTTCCAGCAAGTTCACCTCCCCTCCTTGTGTTTGTATCCACCATCGATCCTCAGAGGGCAAAGCGCCCACCCGCC